CCTAATCCTGGCAAAGAAAGGGTTACTTCTAAGTGGCTTATTAACCCTTTGTGACGGGATTCTATTGTCTGTTTTCATACATTGTTGATACATTGCAGCAGTTTTTTGTATTTGTTTTGTGTATTTTGTGTTTTTTGTATTTTTTTTTCCATTTCCGTCTTATTAGCAGCCGAGAGAAATGACAAAAACAACAACAACAAAAAACTTCTGGAGATTTCGAGTGACTAATAAGCAGATCACAAAGTGTGAAATGTGTACATGACGACCTACATGCGGTTCCTGGCTGATCAGGTGACTGCGTCTTCTACAATCTTGTGGGATTGTAGGATCTGATTTACGTGGCAGAATGTTTATAGGGTGAGGTGCTCCGTCTTCATAGAACCCCCCACCCCACTCCCACTGTGCTTTATTTAGCTGTATTTATAAGAAGGGTGACCACACTTTTCACAGTTTGCAGCTCTGCAGACTTTGTGTCACTGCTCCGCCCACTACTGGTGAAAACACACCCTCCTGTAAGTGCCTTCCTAACTGCAAGCCTGATTTCAACTGTCAGCTTGCATGGGACGACTCGGTAGACAGACGGGAACCTCTACTGTCTTGATGGAAAATAATCCCTATGCAAATAAAACTCTGTGATTATGTATTGGCCCGGGGTTCTCATAGAGACTGAGGATTATTTATAAGAGGGAAGGGTCTGTGTTGCCCATAGCAGCCAATCAGACCCCCGACTACTGTTTTCTTGCAGTTAGTAAGGCTCTCCCAGTGACTGGGGGCAGAGGACTGGGGGACAATAGTGATGTGTGGGAGGGGCGGGTGCAATGCAAAGCACCACCATCCATGCCATAAGTCCCCAAGTCTATATTTGCATATTAGAGCGGCACTTATTTTGGGGCAAAGACACCTACATGCAGACCTACCCCCCCAGAGCCATTCCACCAGCTACGACTTCTGTACAGGTTTGCTTTACAGAATCCTCCAGAAAACCAGGCAGCTGACTTGCTGACCTCCTGGAAATGCTGCTTGCCTGGCTCTCATACTGATCTCTCCAGTACTTAAATCGTATCCTGTGAACATGCAAGCCGATTGGTTCCCTGGATCCAGGCACCGCCCACTGTAGAGGCAGCAGAACAGAGAATCATACAACGAGAGGCTGCAACCGCACCCAGAAGCACTGTGAGAGACCTGCTGAATAAGCCTGCCTGTGTTATTTTGGTATATATGTTTTTTTTTTTTACATATTGCCTGGACATCCCCACATGACCTCAGCCTCCTCCTGACGGCTATGACTGTATCTGACCTCAGTGGGAGGCCTCGTGCCCACAGTATCCTCTGGGAAGTGATGATGAAGTTGTTGCACAAACAGAATTGGAGGCTGGAGCATGTTGTGTGATTCGGGGCGTATCATGTGTCCTCATGTGGGGGTGTCAAATGTTTGAAAGCTGTTCTTTGCCTGTCGTCACAAGTCTTCATAAACAGATTTCACAAACCTGCGACACCCAACAAATGAGGGTTTCAGGTTCAAATCTTCCTTTGTGTTTTGTGGTGTGGGAACACTATTTTCTGAGCCCTGTGAAGAATGTTCAGCCAGAATCCACTTAGCGCCCGATCGCACTGCGGGCGGGGCGACGTGGCTGCGGTGCCATTGACTTCAATGGCCCCAGCACGCAGGTGCACGATTGCGGTGCGTTCCAGCAGCTACCGCTCTGAAACGGGCTGAGGAGGGAGCGCTGTCATGTCGGATGGCCAGTGGTGAGGAGGAGAGAAGCTGTGTCGGCCGCCTGGCGCCCTTGTTGCCATGGTGCCCTGTGTGGCCGCACAGCTCGCACACCCCAAAGGCCGGCCCTGCTCACACTAACCCTCCCTGTAACCTTTCCACTAACCCTCCCTGTAACCCTAACACTGACCCTCCCTGTAACCTTTCCACTAACCCTCCCTGTAACCTTTCCACTAACCCTAACACTGACCCTCCCTCTAACCCTACCTCTAACCTTTCCACTGACCCTCCCTGTAGCCCTAACAATGACCCTCCCTGTAACCCTAACACTGACCCTCCCTGTAACCCTAACACTGACCCTCCCTGTAGCCCTAACACTGACCCTCCCTGTAACCCTAACACTAACCCTCCCTGTAACCCTAACACCAACCCTCCCTGTAACCCTAACACAATACATGTGCATGTGGTGACATGTTAGGAATTTGCTCATGCAGGCTGTAGAATGAATGAAGGATCCACTTTAACCAAATTGTTAAAAGGTGACCTGAGTAATGTTCCGGCCATTTGGGGCTTCCTATGGGGGGTGATCATGAGCCCTTCAGGCCATTACTCTTTCTGTAAACCTGCTTGGTCCTTCCTTTGCTCAGTAAGAAGATGGCTGGGCCCCTTCATTGTTCTTGTGGAAGTTCCACTTTAAGTTCCCATTTAATCCACAGAGGTGTTTGAGACACCTGCTGCTCTGATGGGACCAGACTACTATTGGGGGCATTTACAGAACATGGAAGGGTCAGAGAGGGTCAGGCATGTCTCAGGGGGCGGAGCTCTGACTCCTTGAAGCAGAAGAATGATAACCTGAGAGAAGGGGGTCACACTCTTTAAGGTAAAAAGCCATGAAGCACAGGGAAGTGGACTGGAGTAGGGACTGGCTGTGATGAAGAAGAAAATATCTCACAAGTAGTGGCGTCCATTATATCCGCTTATATGAAGATTTTTTATCTCACGGCCGCGGATCCTCATTTAGCAGTACCGGGATCTCTTCTTATGTCCGCGGAATGGTTAGAAAGACATAAATGGGTTTTATTGGCCCTAACCGCTCATTAGAAGGCTTGTGCCAAGAAAAATGCCTTTTGAGGTGAAGAGATGCGGCCATTATCAGGGCGGTTCTCTTCCTCACATGGCGCTTTTGGCGCCCCGCTGGTTCTGTGTGGGTCGCTTTACCAGGCGGCGGGTTAATGTTGTCCCTGATGAATCGCTTATAGAGAAATAAACGCAGCGTGAAGCCTCTTTATTGTTCATGTGAAGAGAAATTCCTTTCACGAGTCCAACAGTCAGCTGACCTATCAGCCAGACTGCGGCTGGATGGACTCTATGGCCACGGGCTACAAGGGGGACACTGTGTGCCGATGTAAACACAGCACTTGTATAAAGTGGATCTCTGTGGAGCCTTATGCCTCATTCACACAGCGTAGAGTCGGGCCGTACAGATCCGTGCGGCATGCACGGCTGTATTGGGCCGTTACTGGGAGGGACAGGTGCTGCGTGTGATTGTACGCACTAGCCTGTTCTTCTCTATGTGAGGATGCAGCCAAACGCACACCCGAGCTGCAGCCTGCACATCTGGACACAGAGGTGGTGAGAGAGGTGGGCACAGTGGCAGGGAAAGAGCTTTGGGGTCAGTGGACACAGAGTTGATGAGAGAGGTGGGCACAGTGGCAGAGGAAAAGCTGAAGGGAGGGTCAGTGGACACAGATGTGGTGAGAGAGGTGGGCACAGTGGTGGGGGAAAAGCTGGAGGGGGGTCAGTGGACACAGAGGTGGTGAGAGAGGTGGGCAC